ATTAATTGCAGAAATATTGACATCTTCGAAACGTGCGACTGCTCTGGCGATATCGACTTGTAGTGAACTAGAGTTTTCCAATTCATCTCCATGGCCAGCGTCCCAAATTCTAACTGTGCCATCTCCATGAGCCGTCTGAATGATATTCCGTGCTTCATATCTCCGTAGGTGTTTCACTCCTTCTGCCCCTCCTTTCAGAAGCTGTGGACCCATAGCACGAGTTTCTGTCATGCCAAGCCATCGACCTCTATCAACAGCAGATACTGCCATGAAATTGACGAACGGATGGACAAAGGAAAGGGAGGGATGAAGTTGGTTTGTAGGAGAAACAGGATGACCACTAGGGAAGCTCAATGTAACTAACTCACCCGATGTGAGAAGTGCAATAATGGCAATAGGGTCTTGAGCTCCGGCAAAATGTGGAGAAGCACGAGGAATGAGACAAAAATCTGCGATATCTGCACCAGTAGGAGTTGGAAGGAAATGTTGACGTTTTGCATTAAAGTGATCGGTCAAGACTTGCCAAGTTGACGTCGCATAAACCGGAGTTACACCCAACTCCATAAATGTCATACCTTTGGTAGGCGTCGTGGTTGGGACCCCTCCAGCCACAAGAAGACCAGTATCATCCGGGTTTTCTTTGCAGCACCAAGCTATTTTTGCAAAATCTTCCTTGAGGGAGAACGTACCAACAGAGTTGCTAGAACCTTGCGGCTGAGATCCAGGTACATTCACATGTGTATCTTGTAGAGTTCGAGCCATCACAATTCTTCCATCTTTAGGATCCCAAAATACAATGCTTGCATCATCATGCGCTGTAGCAATGAAAGTTCCAGTGGGATGCCATAAAGCTTGTGTAAGACGTGGTTGTCTAGGCGCATTCTTACCCAAAGGATCTCCATTTCCACCAGGAGCTCCGGCTGGAACTTCGTATTGAAAGTATTTGACAGGTTTGTTCCGTTTAAACGAGTATATCACAGCTCCCTCCGTGTATCCTATCAATAACTGTCCAATATCTCTGGGATGTAATTGTAAAGATACACAACTCAACAACCTTGATCTTGGATTCTTTTCGCGCCAGAAATTCGGAAGTCGTAAAGGCGCAAGCTTCTCTCTATCCAAGTCGTAGCATATAATATCTCCCGTTTGTAATCCAATTAAACACCAATCCAGCATAGGATCCGTCACAATGGTAGTCACAACTCCTGGCGGGGAGTAAGCTGCCAACTTCTTTGCTGTTGCTAAATCCCATACTATGACTTCGTTCTTCGAATCAACACTAATAAGTCTGTCGGCGCAAAATTGTAGAGTTTTGACTGACGCTCGACGGGGTAATGTAAGCTTTGCTTGTACTCTCTTCTGACCAAAAATGTAAATTTGTCCGCTTCCAAAGGTTGTCTCGTTCGTTCCGACTGCAAGTAAAGATTGTACTGGATCATATGCGAGAGAACTAAAAAGTGTAGAAGTTAGCTGACCCCGAATCCCTTAATTTGTTACATGGTAGCAGAGTAGCAGAGTTAACATACCCTATTTGCGAATTGATGCCGAAGCGATCCAAATCATCCGGCGCAAACAACCCTGGCAAGATACCCGCAGATAGATCATTTTGTATACCTGCTTGTTTTCCACGTAAAAAGCCTGCCATTTTGTTCTGACAGATGGTGGAAATGTTAATGTTGTTGGTATTATGTTTTGGTGTTGGTTAACCAGGAGGATTAATGTTGGTGGAATACTTAAACCTGAAATTGCTTTATTTGCGTCATCTCAAGGAACCTACGTGGTATTTCTTGGCTATGAATAATAGAATAGATATTCGGCGGTTTATTACACATTGAGAAGAAATCAACATCACAATCAAATATTATATCTTCAAGATGATTAGTATGTCTGGGGTAATCTTTTTTAGATTGCCCCTTATCCAATGTGGGTGCATGGGCTACGAAATCAAGTAGTTGCGACATAAGGTTACCAACTACTGTACAAACGTTGGCTTCGTAGGTCCAAGCCACCAACTACTTAAAGAACAAGGCCAGTAAATGTTGAGCTCCTCACAGGTATATATAAAATCTCCATTTGGTTGTAAGACTAATATACCGTAGACCTCGACGTCTGTCATCTCTCATCTCTTGCTCATGTTACCTCATGGTCGAGGTTGTCCTTGTTCCCATCCCCAAATATCCCAGTATCCATGCCATGCACTCCGTATATTTGCATCCCTTTTCTGTAACCTCAACACACCTTCTTTCATCAGAGCAGGAAGTTCCATCTCCAATTCTTCTCGCCGCACCCCTGCCTTGATCAATTCTTGTGTTAAGTCGATCTGTTTTTTGATTTGCGCAACAGGATTGATATAGTATGGTGGTGGAAGGATTGCATCAGCGACTCGTTTCTCTGCTGCTGCTTGATCGCAAGTCTTGCAACGAGGTAATTTGCGATCACAATTGAGGGAGGGTCTGATGCGAGGGAATTTGAGAGCTATATATGCAAATGCAGGAGGCAGTACGAGAGGACGATCGCAGGCGGGACATGCGGACATATTGTTCTGCAGATGAGTCTCGAAAGGAAATAGACTCGACAGTGACTATAGGTGAGTGTGATTCAAGGATGATTGAGATGTGTAGCAAATAGTCATGATTAAAAGATTGATTTGAATCTTCTTGACAGTTCAATTTTATCTTCTTTACCTCACTTAAACAAAGAGTTGATCGCAGTAATGGAACTAGATCTGGCAGCCAAGGTTGAAAATTTCGTAAACATCTGCTGCAAGCATCCTTTGTCCGTTTCGGTGTGGCTGAAAGCAAGTCGACAGCAACAACCACAAAAGCATAAGCGAATTTCTTCGCAGGCAAATCGCAAAATCTGTCGCCAATTCAATATGGTGCCATTGGTTTCGAGAAGAATAAAGAAAAATAACAATAGTTGTAAATGTCCCGTTTTTTATATTTCTCCATGACCCAACGCATTCTCATGCCATAGGATGGAGGGTAAGTAAACGAAAAGATTCTCTTCTATCCTGCAATTTCCCCTCCAAGATCCCGCCATTGAAAGACAAAAGACCAGAGTGAATATTGAGGAATCAGTTTTAGTTTTATGAAGAGAAAAAGAAGAAGAGAAACTGAAAATTGAGATTGAAATTATCTTGTACTCGAAATTTTTATCAATCATGTGATTTAAGCGACAGTGATGTTGAGCTAGTATGACCTGAGCTTAGTGAGCTTAGACTTTCGGTCAGTACAGCCATTGATAATGATTGATCTTCCACGTATTCTAATTGGTTAAAATTTACATATATAACTACTCGAGTACGCTGAGCTAAGGAGACGGCGGGGTTGTACTAATGTTATTAAATGTGCCCCGCACTAAAATCAAATTAACATCTTCTGAATGGATTAAAAGTTAAAAGTACGATCAGGCACCATCCTTCTTCTACTTGACATCATAAAATAAGAAAAGGTCACGTCGTCCTTAATATCATACCAAGTTCCGAAGCGAATACAATCAAATAAAAAACAACCAATCTTTTTGGTTATCTCGATATTATTTTAACAACATGGCACCAGGAGGACCAGCAGCCGGACGTGGCAGAGGTGGAAAGTTTAAGAAGTTCACTCGTGGGGGTAAGAATATTCTTATGACAAGATTACATTCTGAAGATACTAATTTGAACTTCCCAACAGGTGGTAAACACTTCTCTCGTGATCTTAGACCTCTCGATGCCAATGGAAACGAAATCCGCGAAAAGAATGCCGATGATTCATCCTCAGAAGAAGAGGAAGAAGAAGAAGAGGACTCAGAAGAGGAATCTTCTGAAGAAGAGGAAGAAGAGAAGCCAGAGATGACCCGTGAACAACGTCGCGCTGCTGCTAAGGCGAAGAAGGAAGCTGCTATCAAGAAGAAGAACCAGAAGGTCGCACAAGTTGGGGATCTCCCGACCGATAGCGAAGAAGAGAGTGAGGATGACGACATGCCTGTCAATCCCAACCATAGCAAGGCTGCCAGAAATCAAGCCAAGGCCCCACCAAAGACTGTCGATGAAGTTGCAGGAGATGTCGCAAAGATGAGCGTCAGCAAGAAGCCACAGGAGTTGAGTCGCAAAGAAAGAGAGGCAATTGAGGCACAAAAGAAGAAAGAAGCATACCAAAGATTACATCTTGCCGGAAAGACTGATGAAGCTCAAGCTGATCTTGCAAGGTTGGCAAAGGTCAGAGAGGAGAGACGCTTGGCAGCAGAACGCAAGGCCGTACGTACTATTTATGTCCGTCTATGCTTGAAATTAAACTAACTTCTCGTAGGCTGAGGAAGAAGAACGTAAGGAACAGGAGCAAGCAAAGTCGGAGCAATTGGCGCGGGAACAGAGAAGAAGAGAAGCCGCTATGGGACCTGCAGCCAAAGGAAAGAAGGGAAAGAAATAAGGGGTTCTCCATAAGATCAGACTTAGTCTTCTGGGTTTGGTGATGAAGGCTTCTAGAATACATATCCAGGCATATACAAGCCTCGGCGTGGCGTTATTCCTTTCTCTTTTGTATTGCTTGTTAAGTACCAATCTATAAAGCTTTACATGTTTCAATGCTTGTGCGTCTATTCGATGTTGCTTGCTGTTTATTGTGCTGTGTCTAGTTGATCATCATACCATGTTTGCAGAACGTCCATTATAGAAGAGTGGCATTGCCAGTGCCATTAGTCTTAGAGCGTATGTAGAAGATTGGGATTGGCAGTGACAAGCAAGACTACTGTTGCAATCAATAATGTGATTTCAACAAGAAAACAAAACCCCAAATTGGAATACTTTGGACGTATATCCTATAGACCAAGTCAATCCAGCACAATAAGAATACCTCAAGTAGGTGTTTAAAGGGTAGTTGTGTCATCCCAAATTCGAAGTCATGCTCAATCTCACCCCACGCCGCCTCTTCATTTCATGATCACCTTCACCCAACATAGGACATAATAACATAAAGCTAAACAACATTATATTATATAAAATAAAACAACATATAATCGAAGGCATGGCGCAGTGGCTAGCGTATCTGATTCCAGCTTATACAATCTAGAGTCCAGATGGTCCTGGGTTCAACCCCCAGTGTCTTCCTTAGTTGGGTATTTTTGAAGGTTTGTAATTACTTTTGGAGTTATAGATGGGGATTGGAATATGATTTTGGGGTTATATGATAATACAGACTAGGGGTACTTGTTAATGGGAGGGAGAGAGAGAGTTAGTTGAGTTTGCCTTGTTTGATTGATGGTTCGGTTTGGAGGTAGGAAGGTGAGGTGGGACGAAAGTTTGTTTGCTTTTGTTGGGTGGGACAGGGTGGAACCAAAAAAGATGCATATCTACCAAAAAAGATGCAAAGATATGTATGATTGTTTCTTTTACATTCCTTTGGTATGTCTAAAGCCTACAAAAGGTTTCTATGCAACCAAGTCCGACTCTACGATGGTTTTCTGCACATTCGAGTTTGAAACCATAATAATCCTTTTTATATTTAAGCAGGAACCGAAGATAGTCTTTCAAATATTCAAGGGAGATTACCATGTCCATTCAGGCAGACTATCAGATTTATCCATGACGTGAGCTGATATTCTGTCATCCTGTGCCAATTTCAAACCCGGCTCAAAATTCTCCTTGCGCCTCAAAATATCAAAAATAATCTTAATTTCTTTCAGAAGCCCGCCGCAACCTACATGCAAAGCCTCATCTCCAGATTTCTGCTCCCAAAACTGATATTGTTCCTTTCAAAGTTGCTCAAGTCACATGTGTCCAGCGACCATTCAAGGTGTAGAGCTCGCAAATTGCAAAATATTTTCAATCTTAGTTTGATGACAGTTGATTTTGTCTGGGTATTAAATTAGCTACTTTACTTTACTTCTTTTGTTGGTCACAAATTTCAAACTCACCTGCACAAATGACATGAGTCCCAGCATGATTATATGCTCTTTCACCTTATCAGTCCGTCCAGTTGCATATGAACATCCCATTGATGAATAGATACATGGGGCCTTGGGACAATGAAGGGATTGCTGATGGTGGATTAGATCGGCTCGGCGTGCGAAGGGATAGATGGACGAATCGTTGAAGAAAAAGCCGAGATCAAACGAAGGCGTGTTGTTACCGATTTCACACAATGTGGGAGGAGTACATGGCCATATATCATGGTCAAGACTGGGGAGTGTCCCCTCAAGGATGTTCTCGTTGCAGACGAACGCGGAAGTGCGTTGGAAGAACTTTATCTGCTCTCGATTTAGGGCGTTCTCGCCGATGGAATTTGTGCCAAAGGCTTGGAAAGAGGGAGGAACAAAGGTATACATTGTGGGGCATTGGGCATCAGAGAAGCTCGCGAGCTTTGAAACAACGGATGCGTTGCACGGCTAAGATACTCAGCTTGCCAACGTACATAGCTCCAGCAGCTAGGCGATGAGGAGATATTTCTGCATGCCAGCGAGCATTTCGTAGCGCCTAAGATATGCTTGGCCTGCGTTATGGTGGTCCTCAACTAGAGGTCCTCACATCTTGCACTCTGTGGTAAGAAACCAGAAATCAGGAAAGACCCGACTTCAATTGTGGCGGTCTTCTGCGAAGAGTGTTTCTACCCCATGAATTATGATGATGGATGGCCATTGAGAATCCCAGATACACGATTATCGGTCCTGATTCTCAAATGCACTGGAAACACATCGCAATTTATTGTACTCACATTCTATTGTCTGGATTGGGGATCCTTGATGATTTACGGATACGAGCAACGGTTGCTTTGGCGGTTCTGTGTATTCATGCATTCGCGTCAAGTCCCTGTCGTCAGCAAATACCGGGGCGTTGTTTGTTGGCCAATCAAACGACCTTTCATGCAGCCCGATGTGGTTAGCATGAACCAAAATTCCAGCACTCTTCGAGGCTGAACTAGGACCACCATTCTTCACCTCATAAGCAGCCCAGGTTTGGGGCTCACTAGGGCAAACTTCATTGCCTTTGGTTTATGATTAAGTCATAATTAGATTCGAACTTTTGTACTTCGATGCAGTGGGTTTTGTGCTTTCCCGAATTACGGCTTCCAACCTACAGCTTCGGGCGAAACGTCGAAATTCTCGAAATCCGACTTATGTATGTCCATCGTGGCGTTGTAAGCTACCTGCCTTTCAATATTAGTCGAAATTCGGAGCGATCCACCGCCTCCAAACCAGAGTCTCGAGGAGCGGCCTGTTACGTCGGTCACCAGTGATCACCGCAATATGTGACTAATTCAGACAATGTGATTCATAGCTACGTGAAGGATTGTTGAGGAGCGTTAGCGGTCCAGGATCGTTGAGGAGTGTTAGCGGTTTAGGATAATTTGGTGATCCTAGCGATCTATGAATTACGAAGGTTTATATAATTAGGATAAGTTTCATTATTGTAGAATTTGATATTCAAGATTAATCATTTAGTATATTTTATTATTAATTACGAATTGCAAATATTGTTATTGTTATTTAAATCTTTGTTTGATGTTTAGTTATAAACTATTTTGAGAGTTTAGAATACTTTTATATGATTTAGACGACAACTTTTGTAATACTTTGAGTATTATTACTGTTTCAAGTATCGATTCGAAAAGTAATAATATTATGTCTTCCAAGATATTACAGTTTAGCAATTCTGTTATGAGTAGCCAAAGTACTTTCGAAAGAACGGATAAGGATGGAGATATTGTTATAGGAGGTATAGAAGATCTCAAGGAAATCATTGTTATTGAAATATTAAAAATCGTTTTGTTTGATAAGTTTATAGGCAATCGATAAGAGCTAAAAGTTTTTTTATTTCAATTTGAAATCTATTTTAAATTCAATAAGGATAAGTTCAATTATGATATTGATAAAAGCATTTGGGTAGTTTTTTATTTTAGAAAAGAAACCGCTAAATAGATTCAACTTTATCTCAAAGATTATTTTGTTAATTTGAATGAATCAAAAAAACGATTGTATCTAATCCAGATTATTTTTGGAAATTTTGATAAGTTCAGAATGGAAATACAATGAGTATTCGGAAATATTAATGAGTTGTGTGATGTTGAGTTTAAGATTTATAGATTTAAACAAATAAAATCAATTATTAAGTATATTGTGGAATTCAGATGATATATAGGTATTATTGAATGGGAAGAGAATGTTACAATGAGTTATTATAGGAAAGGGTTCAAAGCTGAAATCAGGTTAAAATTAGATTGTAATTGTATTTGGAAAGATCTGAATGAATTGATTGAGGAGTTTATTAAGGTAGACGAAATATTCTATGAATATCAAAGGGAATACCGATTTTCCAGTTTTTACGGAAATCGAAACTATAGTAAATATCGTAAGAATGAAGGAAGATTTCGAGATTATAAACAATCTTATAAAGAATCAATATAATTAGATATAATATTCAAAAATAAACTATCTAAAGAAGAGATAAAACGAAGATGTAAGGATAAACTCTACTTCGAATATAGCAAGGCAGGTCATCAAGCTAGAAACTGTTGAAGTAAGAAGATATTTAGGAAAGAAAGCTATAATAAGAAATTCAGCAAAGGTTAATTTAATATTACTTTCATTTTGCAATTATATACAGTTAGCAGTACTGAAATCCTTGCAGAACAACCACCAGTTTATATGGAAAAGGAGTTGGAAGAAAAAGAAAGCTTTTGATAGCTTGACAGAAACTCTAGTTTAGAAGAACTATGGATTATCTGTGAGATAGATGAATGGAACTATTGTATTTGGAAATTTGAAGATATCAACAAAGGAACAATAAATAAGGACATCAGTATAATCGATACTAAAGAAAGCGAAATCTATAAAATGAAATTCATTGATGAATATCGGATTCTATAATACAGAGTTATTACTAACAATTTATTTGTTGAAAAAATCAATAATAAATATTTAAAAAGATCAGCAAAGAAAGAAATTTGGAAAGTATATTATTATTATTCAATTACGAATAATAAGAATCGTAATCTTTTTTTCTGTTATAATATAAAGGATAAATATCGAATCAATATTCAAATTATATTATTATTATTTAAGATAGTTAGTTTATTCAAAGTAGTAGTTAGTAATAATCATTATACAAAATAAAAGGATATATTTGATAATAGAATTAGAAAAGATTATGATATTGTTTATTTAGAAAAAAGCAAGTATAATCAAATAGTTGAGAATCAAATGGATTAAATGAATTAGGATTAATAATTGAATGTTATAAATCAAATAGGACAAATTTATTGTAAAGTTGAGATAAATGGATGACAAATTCGAACTATAATCGATTCAAAAGCTATAGGAAATTTTATTATATTAGAAACTGTGAAGTACTTAGGGGTACAGCTCCAAATGAAACAACGACTCTATCAATTGCAGCTAGTAGATGAACAACTAGTCGGATTGGATAGCAAAGTTTCAGATGAAACTCTTCCAGTACGAATGAGTATAGCTTCGTATAATGAAGTTATCTAGTTCGATGTTGTTCTATTAGGGAATCAACAAATCATTTTGGGAATACTCTGATTGAAGGTATACAACCCCAAAATTGATTGGTTTACAGAAGCTGTATGCTTTTCAAACAATAGCGATCAAAAAGATACACTAAAACCTACAAGGCTGTATATATATAATGGAGAGCTGAAGGCGAACAGCTCTAACAATATAGGATGCCCAATCCAGGGTTCTCTATTAGTAGTAAAGGAAAGTTCATCTTTTATACAAATACAGAAACAAGAAAATATACAAATACCAGTATAGTATTAAAGATACAAGAAACTTTTCGAAGAAAGAAAAAGCTCTAAAGTTTTACCAAAATATAAGTTATGGGATTATAAAATAATATTATAGAAAGGCAAGATGTCTCCATTCAGATCAATTTATCAAATATCGGAGTATGAATTAAAGATGCTTAGGGAATATATCGATGATATATTAAAAAAAGGATAGATTAGAGAATCTATATTATAGATAGCAAGTTCTATATTATATATATCAAAATCAGATAACGTGGTTTATCAGTGTGTGGGTCATATCAGTGTGTGGGTCACTTTCATCTCAATTCAATCTCTTCTCTTTCAACATGCGTTTTATCAA